ACACACACACACACACACACACACACATACACACACACACACACACACACAAACACACACACGCACACACACAAACGCACACTGACAGCTCAGCAAAATTAGTACATGTACTTGAGTATCAAGGCATTGTGTCCCAGTTTGCTGGCTCGTATCCCTAACATTTGATACTGTTTGATGGTTTGCCACCGACAGTTTGTCGCTGTTTGATGTTTTGCGACCGATAGTAGTCACAGTTTGATAATTTATCACTGACAGTTGTCACTGTTTGATACTTATTGTAATTTGTCACCGATAGTGGTCACTGTTTGATAGTTTGTCACCGACAGTTTGTCACTGTTTGATGGTTTGCACCTACAGTTGTCACTGAATGATAGTTTTGTCAAGGACAGCTATTAAATAACAGGAACGACGACGACGTTGAAGACAGTGGGGGTGATGATGGTGATAACATTTAAAATACTTTTATATTACTCAAAATGACAGCAGTAATAATGGTGATAATAACAAGAACGTCAACATCATCAACAACAAGAACAAAACAACAACAGTAGTAACACCAAAAACACTAATAACACCACCACCAACAACAACAATATTGACATCACCACCACTACAACAACAACAATAACATCAACAATAAGCACCACAACAACACCAATAACAACAGCAACAACGTTAATAACAACAACAAGAATAATCACCACCAGCACCACGACCACCACTACCAAGAACGACAACAACAACAACAATCACCAACATCACCACCACGGCCAACATCACTACCAACAACAGCAACAACAACAACAGCAACATCATCATCATCATCACCAGCATCACCACCAACATCACCACCACCACCACCACCACCACCACCACCACCACCAACAACAACAACAACAACACTTAAACCACCACCACCACCAACAAGAACAATACCCCCAACCCCCTCCACCACTAACACTAACATCGCCAAAACCACCACCACCACCACCTCTACCAATAACACAAACAACAGCAACATCATCACCTCCACCAACAACCACCACCACCACCACCACCAACAAAAGTCGTTTTCCCCCGCCTTTCCCCTCAGGCACACGCGGCCCTCGAAGACCGGCTCGAGTCAGCCCAAGCGTTAGATGACGTGGGAATCTCCGGTCGTCTGCTGGTGGACTCCATGGAAGACCTGGCTTGTCACATGTATGGGGCGGTGCCAGAACGTCTGTTCATTCTGAAAGGGGGCGTGGTCACGTATGTGGGCGCTTTGGGGCCGATTGGATACGACCTGGATGAGATGGAAGAAAAACTGAAAACTTTGTTTTAACGTTTTGTTGCTGAGGCAACTGTTTGTTGACTTTTTGAAGTTGAGATAACGTTAAATCTCTATGTTAACTTAAAGACAACTTTGTGTTGACACTTTCTTGTGGAGATAACTTTCTGTTAACTCTCTGTTGTTCAGATAACTTTCTGTTAACTCTTTGTTCTTCATAAAATTTACTTTTTGACATATTATTCCTTAAACTCTTTACTATTGAGATAATTTTGTGTTAACAACTTTGTGGTGACAACTTTTTTTATTTTTTTATTTTTATTTTTTAGTAAGAATTAACGGCATTTGCCACATAAAAAGGTTAATGTAAGTGCCGAAAAGTAGTGGTTTTACTAGAGAGTAACATACAAAGAAACGAAGAAGGAGAGATAAGAAGGGTGGTTGTCTGAAAGGAAAGAAGAAGCAAATCACACCCGAGCTCCCGCAAACCACTCATTTGTTCTTTTAATCATTTTTTATGTACGGGTCTTTTACGCTCCCATCTATCTACTTTAGACCATTTGGGAAGCGGGTTTCCGACCCTGCCTGTTGGGGTCAACAATGCTAAGAGGAACATAACATACCAGCAGGAAGACCCAGGTACTTGATAAAATTCTGTCTTCACTAACAATAGCTGCCCATCAATTTGTGGACTTCCTGCACACGTAGCAACCACCTAGTGTTCTCCTTTTATTTTTATCATCATCATCATCATCATCATCATCATCATCATCATCATCATCATCATCATGTGCCAGAACTGAAACAAACATCGATGATCATAGTTCGCAATTGATTTCTCTCCGCTACTGCTCTTTAAGAAAACGAAAGAGAAAGAAAGAAAGAAGAAAAATAAATAAAGAAAGAAAGAAAGACAGACAGAAAGAAAGACAGAATGAGAAAGATGTAAGGACAGAGAGGAAACAGAGAGGAAGAAAGAGAAAGAAGGAAAGAGAGAAAGAGTGAGAAAGAAGGAAAGAGATGAATAAGGATGAAGAGAAAATCAGAGAGACAAAAAAGAAAGGAGGAAAGAGAGGAAAAAGGAATGAGGAAAAAAAACCCAGAAAAGAAAGAGAGGAAGAAGGAAATAGAGAAAAGGAAGAAAAGGAGGAACAAGTGTGTATGTTCTCCCAACAGTGATAAAGTGTAAAGCGACTTTCTCCTGGCATCTGAGATCTCGTCACGTGACATCTATGACGTGTCTGACGGAAAGGTCACGTGGTACCTTGTCAAATGCTGAGCACAGACACGTGATGGAGATATGGCTGCTCTGAGTTTCTCGCTTCTCCAACTTTTCACTGTGGACCTTTTTTAAAAAAAATCTATGTTGCGTATTTGAGTGTGTTGCTTTTCTCACTTTACACTGTATATTTTGAGTTTTTGGTTTTGATACGTTCGCTTTTCATTGTTTATTTTCAGTTTTTATTTTTATACATGTACTTCCAGTTTCCAACGTGTATTTCGAGCTTTATGTTTGCTGAAGCCTAGACTACTAAGCATTATAATGGGGACAAAATAAGAGCATTGGCGAAATTAAAACCTATATAATTATATTATATTTTCTGTAATAGTGAAGTGGTGTTTTGAGGTGATTTTTACTTGTTTGACTATTTCCTAGTCAAAGCTTGTCTGTCTGTCTGTCTGTCTGTCTGTCTGTCTGTCAAAGACATGTTGCTCGTGAAACAGACGGGGTTACAAACTAGAGCAGGTGTGATTGGCACATCTTTTATACCATATCAAGTTCTCGTGCTGGACCCAAGTAATAAATAACATGTTCAGTGGTGGTAATCTTACTCGAACAACGCTCTAAGGGCTGACCCGAACAACAATGACGTTTAGAGTGAGTTTCTTAGTATATACAAATTAATACGGCGTCACAATCTCATTGTGCACCAGCCGAACAAAGCCCACAGAAGTGGTCTAAAAATAACACGGTCTCAGACCAGTCCACGATAGTGTACACAATTCAATGCCCGAATTATGATGCTCTTCGAAGCAATCCACCGGAGTGCTCACAGTGATGATTGGTCCATTGTCTTGCCATTTATATCTCTAGCCCCAACTCTCTAATCCTGAACTTTAGCGAGGTCAACCTGACGTAATTAGGTCACTGTGTTAGAAGACTGGAAGAAGAGACTTACTTGGAATAATGGAATGGTGCAGTGGTGAAAGTTATATTACTTGAGTGTGTAATTCCAAAGCAGGATGAATGAAGTTGATTGCAAATAATTTAATTCAGCTCTCTAAACAAAGGGATAAGAAGAGAGTGAAAGATTTAGGTCTTCACCAACTCAAGGATATACTGGTACATCAAAATTATACAACCTACCAAAAGGTGCAATCGTGTTTCACTAATAATCTTTTCGAAACAGTGGAGTGGCTAACAGTCAGCGTTAGCAAACTCTGATACTGATTGTACTGTTTCTACTGTCTGCTTTTTTGGAACTGAAGACGCCAAGAGGTCCAAGACAGGTTTTTTTCCAATCTTGCCCATGTGAAACAAAACATTACAGATACGAGCCATCAAGAGCGTACGTCAGCAATGCCCTTAAGTATCACACTTTCGGTCTAGTGGACTTAACAGCACAGCTAGACGTTTGTCATCGCATTGCAACCTCTCACTAGATCTAGATATATTACAACGAACGGATGAGAAAGAACAGCCACGTATTGTGTAAGGTTATCGAGTGTATTTTGTTCTGTGAAACTCACGAGCTCGCTCTTGATTTATCACAATTTGAGATCAATCTGAGGTACATGAAAATTAAAGACGAAAAACGGGTAGAGCGGTTATTCTAACGATTTTTTGAAGTCAAAGAGAGAACTCGTTTCAACACTAAAAGAAGCTTAAAAACCATTCAGCGTCGAGGAAAAGCTGAAGGCCCAAACCTACTATGGGGCAGCTATAATAAATAGGAGGGTCTCTGGTGTACAAACTCAGATGCGTCAATAATTATATCTTTCCCTAACGCTGTCTTTGTTCATTGCTATGCGCATCAGCTGAACCTTGTTTTAAAACACGCTTGTTCTGGCATTTCAGACTGCAGGTTATTTTTCGCTAAAGCTGCAAGCTTACCACCCCCCCCCACCCACCCACCAAAGCAGTGCTACTGACTGAAGTTGTCTTTACGCCATTCCCAAAGGGGTGATATTAACATGTTCCTAAAGCATAGTAGAATTGTAAATTGGCTGATTTATCAACGCTACGCTCATACTGTGCTGGAATAACTTAAGAGGAACTGCTGCTTTTGCTTTACTTATCCTTACTACATGTATCGTACTGTTTCCTCTACCGTATTTCTTTTGTACATTTGTCAATCTCTTGTGAACTGCTACTTCTGGGGTGCCTTGATAGTTGAAGCACACTTTGTGTTGTTGAGGCTAGAGATATGAGCAGAATAATCTTGATTCCCCGTTTGGACTTCTCTGTTGACATCCACCCCTTGGCGCTCATATGGCCTTATGCAGTTGCAAATACCGTCAAGCCTTACTAAAACTAAAGCTGCAGGCTTTTCGACATTTTTTTCCGACAATACAAAACGAATCGACGTTTTCAGACGCCTTTGTCGTCGGAATAATCCACGACCGTCTGAAACAAAGTGGAATGTTCAGTCTCGACTTCTTAGCACAGTTTTCACTTGGAAAGGAGATATCCAGCGCTTACTTGAAGAAATTCAATCTGACCCTAGGGACGATAATACCACCCACGGAGTGTGTGGTCCTGATCTGAATGTATTTACTTGCGATGCATTTCTCTTCTTTTTGCATTTTTTAAACGAAGTGATCACGTACATTGATGTTGTGAATGGGATCCTCCAGCACAGAAGTATAACGCCTAAAGCAGCCCTACAAGCTCTTGTTTTTGTTTGTTTTTGTAAAGTGTTTTACGGCGCTCGCAACTGCATAGGTCATATGAGCGCGCGGGACACACCTAATATTTTCAGTTGGTAGGAAATTTTGAATTTTGCCCAGGTGGCGGCCGAAGCCTACTCTTATCGATTTTAGA